AGTTGGGAATAGAGAGATCTGGGAATTGAAGTCTACCCATCTAGTCTAGAGAAAAGAAGGACCAGGGGAGACATGATAGCAGGATTCCAGTATTTGAGGGGCCGCCACGAGGAGGAGGGGATCCACTTATTTTCCAAAGCACCAAAGAAGGCAGGACAAGAAGCAACGGATGGAAACTCATCAAGGAGAGAAGCAACCTGGAACTAAGGAGAAACTTCCCAACAGTGAGGACAGTTAACCAGTGGAACAGCTTGCTTCCAGATATTGTGGATGCTCCATCACTGAAGGCTTCAAAAAAGAAAGTGGTCCATTTATCTCGAATGGCATAGGGCAAACCTATGGCACGCATGCCAGAGGCGGCACTCAAAGCCCTCTCTGTGGGCACACCTGCTGCCGCCAGCTCGCAAAGGTCCATTAGGCCACCCTGGCACCCGGAGCGGCAGCCCCACCCAGCAGCCTAGCAAGCTCGAGTAGAGGTGGTAGAACACGCCTCCCCATGTATTCGCTATTTATTTATTAAATTTATATACCGCCCTATCTCCCTTACGGGACTCAGGGCGGTGAACAGGCGATACTAAAAACCACAGGCTGATGGTGTCAGGCAGCCGCCGTCCCTGCCTCGCCTTGCCCCACAGCAATGGCAGCCCCGTCCTACCCCCTGCCTTACCCCACAGGACGAGCCTCCTGCCCACCGCCCCACCCACCCGAGACCCCCTGCATCTCCCTCAATCCTGCCCAGCCCCCACAGGCGTCCCCCCACGAGCAACATCAAGGTGGCCACGCCCACCCCGGCCATGCCCCCTCAGTCTGCCATGACCACCACAGCCACCCCCCACCCAGTGGGACATGCCCACCCCCACCCCCGAGGGCACCACAATGCTGATGCGGCCCTGGCACTTTGCGATACATAAGTGGGTTTTGGGTTGCGGTTTGGGCACTCGGTCTCTAAAAGGTTCGCCATCACTGGTCTAGGGTCTCCTGCTTGAGCAGGGGGTTGCTCTGACCTAAGCAAGGAAACTAAGCAAGGAGGGAAACATCTTAGAATTAAGGAGAAACTTCCTAACAGTGAGGACAATTAACCAGTGGAACAACTTCCCACAAGAAGTCATGGGCGCTCCGTCACGGGAGGTTTTTAAGAAGAGACTGGACAGTCACCTATCTGGAATGGTATAGGCCAGGGGTAGTCAACTTTGGCTCTTTTATGACTCGTGGACTTCAACTCCCAGAATTCCTGAGCCAGCCACGCTGAGGGGAAAGAGAGAGGTTTCCAAGCTGAGCCATGCTGGCTCAGGAATTCTGGGAGTTGAAGTCCACGAGTCATAAAGATGCCAAGGTTGCCTACCCCTGGTATAGGCTCTCCTCCTTGAGCAGGGGTTTGGTCTAGATGACCTCCAAGGTCCCTTCCAGCTCTATTCTGAGTGATTGAAACCATCCTAATTTTTTGAAAGACACTTCTTTACGGACTTGAGTGATCCCCTTGCCCCACTCCGGATCCAGATCAGGCCCCGCACCGCTTGTGACATGAAACTTTCTCTTTATTGAATACAGAGTCGTCCAGCAAAAGGAATATGGGGAAGCGGGAAGGTTCGTGATCAGGAAACTGTTCATAAATAGACTCAACCCTTCCACCCACCCCCACAAAATATCTCTCTTGCGGTCCCCTACCCTGCCAGCCCCACTTCCACCACCCCCCGGCCCCTCTCCAGTGCCTTAGGGCCTTCTCCTGTGAAAACTACACTGGTGTGGTATTACTAAGTCCGATTATATAGAAGAATCTGATCCAAGTGGTCTGCAATAAAAGCTGTGTCCCCTTTCCCCACCCCCCATCCCTACTGAGGGTGTTTCTGGGTACCAAGACTGTGTTGAGGTGATCATGCCTAGAAAAGGGGGGGGGTCTTTTGCCTTGCACTCATCTCCCTCACCCTTACTCTTACACACACACACACACACGCACACCCTAACACACAACCTTTGGTGGAGAGAAAAATACATTGTCAATCTGGAGGAAGAATAGGATGTCAGCATTCAAAAATTTGGGGTGTGTGTGAAGAGGGTATCGTGCCAGTTGCAGCCACAGCCTGGAACTTAAAATTAGGGTTGAGGGGTCCTTGGTGCTCTCTGAGGTTGTTTTCTTGCAGACGTTTCATGACCCAACTAGGTAACATCATCAGTCCATCTGACATCAATACTAGCCATCAGCAGCCAAAAAAGCTAACACAATCCTTGGTTGTATAAACAGAGGCATAGAATTAAAATCATGAGAAGTGTTAATACCACTTTATAAAGCCTTAGTAAGGCCACATCTGGAATACTGCATCCAGTCTTGGTCACCACATTACAAAAAAGATGTTGAGACTTGGGAAAAGTGCAAAGAAGAGCAACTAAGATGATCCAAGGCCTGGAGACTAAAACATATGAAGAACAGTTGCAGGATTTGGGAATGGCCAGTCTAGAGAAAAGAAGGACCAGGGGAGACATGACAGCAGCCTTCCAGTATTTGAGGGGCTGCCACAAAGATGAGAGGGGGGGGTCAACATATTTTCTAAAGCACCTGAAGGAAAGACTAATCAAGGAGAGAAGCAACTTTGAATTAAGGAGAAACTTCTTAACAGTGAGGACAATTAACCAGTGGAACTGCTTGCCTCCAGAAGCTGTGGGTGCTCCATCCCTGGAGGTTTTCAGGAAGAGACTATAGAATTATAGGAACTAATTATTGATTGTTTTTTAAATATAAACCCAGACAACACGCTGTTTACCAAATATTAAGGTAATTATGTTAAAAAAAATCAATAAAATATTTTTTTTTTTTAAAAAAAGAAGAGACTGGACAGCCACTTGTCTAAAATGGTATAGGGTCTCCTGCTTGAGCAGGAGGTTGGACTAGAAGACCTCCAAGGTCCCTTCCAGTTCTATTCTGATTGATTTGACTAGCACTGATGTAACCTAGTTGGGTCATGAAACATCTGCAAGAAAATAACCAAGCTCAGAGAGCACCAAGGGAATTACAGTTCAACTCTGAGCTACAAAAATTGTGTTTTTTTTTTTTAAAAAATCCTTTTCTGCTCAGTCCCCATCCAGGTGCAGCAGGGTTGAAGAACCCATTTCAGGTTGCTTCCCAGATGTTCTGAGTCTCTCAGCATCCCAAGCCGGATGCAGTCCGACACATCTGTTTGCTGACACCTCCAGAGAAAAGAATTAATTGCTTTCAGGGTGTTTTTATGGGCAGCCTTTCCCCCCCCCCCCCCGCAAGCAAGGCCCATCTGAGAGGCTACTGTGGTGGGTTTCCTGCACTGCATCCTGCCATAAGATTTTGGTGGTTGAAATTGACTCTCCTACGTCCTAAATACACATAACAGGCACACGCGCACACAGACACACACCCAGAGCCTGCTACAACCCGGTGAAGTCACCCAGTGTCCTATCCAGCAAATATGTCTTCCCCAAGGTCAGGGACCTGGGAGGGGGTAGGGGGAAGAAGAAGAAGAAGAAGAAGAAGAAGAAGAAGAAGAAGAAGAAGAAGAAGAAGAAGAAGAAGAAGAAGAGGAAGAGGAAGAGGAAGAGGAAGAGGAAGAGGAAGAGGAAGAGGAAGAAGAAAAAGAAAAAGAAAAAGAAAAAGAAAAAGAAAAAGAAAAAGAAAAAGAGGAAGGAGGAGGAAAGAGGAAGAATTAGAAAGAGGAGGAGGAAAGAGGAAATGAACAGGGAGGAGGAGGAGTTAGTTGTTAGAGGACAAAAGATAGGAGGAAGGAGAAGAGGAAGAGGGAGAGGGAGAGGGAGAAGGAAAGAAGATAGGGGAAGGAGAAGAGGAGAAGAGGAGAAGGAAGGAAGAGGAGAAGGAAGGAAGAGGAGAAGAGGAGGAAGAGAATGGGGGGGGGAGGAGTTAGAGGAGAAAAGAAGATAGGAGGAAGGAGGAGAAGAGAAAATGGGAGGAGGAAGATAGGAGGAAAAGAGGAGGAGGAGAAATGGAGGAAGGAGGAGAAATGGAGAGGAGAAGGAGAAGGGCAGGCTTGTTCCGGCCATGGGCAAAAGCAGCCCTTGACAAGGGAAATCCTTTGGGCGCTCCCCGTTCTGGCCCTGTGCGAAGTATCTCGGGGGGGTGTGTGTTCTGAAACCCCCTGGGGAACACAAACCAAAGAAAGGGGGCACACAGAGACACCCCCTGCACGTGCCCCCCCCACCCAGAACTGCAGAGGACAAAGTGAAGACCACCTGCATCCTCTCTCGCACACGCAGCCACATAGCCGGCCAGACGCAACTGCAAACCCACATAAACAATTGGGTGGGTGGGAGCAAATTTCTTCCCCACGCCAAGACCACCACACGCTTTTGAACACACGCACCCTGCGCAGGCCTCTCCCGGGACGGCAGCCCCTTCTTCTCTGGTGGCACATGCCCCCCCCCCGAGAACCATTCTTCTGCCTGCTGCCCCTCCTCACCAGCAAAAGAGGAGACGGACCCTTGGGGGGAAGGAAGCGTGGGGTTAGGAGGTGAGGGGGGGCTCTACAGCCCTGGGGTCAGGGTCACTACTACAGGGTGGGCATTTTCGCTGGCCTGGAGTACCAGGGGAGGGGGAGGAGCCCTGTCCCCCTCCCTCTTCGGTATTGCACTCCAATTCTCCCCCCCCCAAGAGATGGGAAATAGATTTGGGTACAACCGTGCCTTAGAAGGCCACACCCCTCCCGATCTAACCGTTGCCCCCAACTGTCTTTGCAAGACTGTGCCTCCCCTATTATTTACAGGCCCATCAGTTTTTTTTTGGGGGGGGGAATCGCAGGCCAGCAGGGGGCTCTGCCAACTCCTCTCTGCCCCCTCCCTCTGCTGCCCCCCCAGCCCAGCCCCAAAACTCTGATCCTTTGCTTTCCAGCTGGCCTCGGTGGGGGGCAGCCGAGGACGGGAGGTCCAGTTCAGCACACGATGGAGGGGAGGGCGCCAGCTGTCGCAGACTGGGACGATGGAGGGCTCCCACCGCCCACGGGGGTCATTTCCAGGAGCGGAGGGGGCTCCTAGCTGGCCAGGGTGCGTTGCAAATTCAGGCGGTTCATCTTGGCTTCTTCCAAGCCTTGCAGTTTCTGCAGCTGAAGTTCGTCCAGATGCCTCCAGAGCTCCTGGCGTTCCTTCTCCTTCTTCAGTTCCCTGTGGGGAGGGGCAGGAGGGGGTGGTCAGGGGCAAAGGAGGAGGCTTCCTATCCACCACCACCCTCCGGTCCATCTCCCCCCAACCAGGTGCACAGAAGAATGTCAGAATTCAGAATTAACAGTGTTGAGGGGAAACCTTGCAGGTTTTCTAGAGATTGGACAGCTATTGGGCCAAAAAAAATTGTACCTAAGTCAGGGGTCCCCAATCCCCGGGCTGCGTCTCGCTCCCAAGCCGTGGCCTATTCAGAACCGGACTGCAAGAGCGATGGGCCGGTGCACGTGCACACATGCGTGCAGCTCAACTTGGGCAAGTTGGGATGCATGCGCATGCATGTGCACGCTGGCCCGCAGCTCATGTGGCCTGGTTCCCCTCTCCCCCCACCCAGCCAGGCCTCCAAGCCACAAAGGTTGAGGACTGCTGGTTTCAGAGACCACCCCCTCCTCTCATGGATGGTTTAGCTGGTTTTCCTGAATATATAATCTAGAATTAAGGAGAAATTTCCTGACAGTTGAGAACAATTAATCAGTGGAACGACTTGCCACCAGAAGTTGTGGGTGCTCCATCACTGGAGGCTTTTAAGAGACTGGACAACCATTTGACTGGAATGTTATAGGGTCTCCTGCTTGAGCAAGGGGTTGGACTAGAAGACCTCCGAGGTCCCTTCCAACTCTGTTATTCTGTATTTTATCCTTGGGATCCCTTCTAAGTCCACAATTCTGTGATAGTTGCATGAACCATCAACTAACACAATGAGCTGGCTTGGTACAAGATGGCAAGCCCACCCCCCGCCCAGCCCAATTCACAAGACCAAGCCAAGCTTAGCATCTCATGTGAATTTGGTCGTACTGTTTCAGGCATGCAGAAAGGGAAATATTGTAAACTCAGTGTTTAGGGTAGGCATGTCTAATCTTGGCAACTTGAAGACCCATGAACTTCAACTCCCAGAATTCCCTAGCCAGCCAAGTCCATGGGTGGACTTGGAATTCCCTAGCCAGCCAAGTTGCCAAGGCTGGACATCCTTGGTTTAGCCTGTCCGGCTTTCCAACCACATCTTCTGAAACTAGACAACATGGAGGACCACCACCCTTCCTGGACCAGACAGCTCTATTCTTCGGTTCCATCACCAGAGTTGCTCCCCCACCATCTCCTCACCCCCACGGTTCACACACTCACACAAACACACTTACTGCTGCTTCTCCACCTTGTAGGAGGCAGTGAGTTCATCAAAGAGCTTGCCATTCATCTCCATGAAGGTCTTGAGGACGTTGTAGACCAGAGACACAATGGTCCTGGGAAGAGAGATGGGATGGGATGGTGAGGACAAGGAGAAGATGAACCTGGGACACACAGAGGCCGACATCCCTACAGTCCCACAACTATGACAACTCGCCATGGCCAACTTGCTGTGGGACAACTTGCTGCAAGACAAGAGTCACACTAATATCGAAGAAATAGTTGAATAGAATCATTAAGGAAAGGATGCCAAATAAGGGATAAAATAAAATGTGAATGACAAAAAATAATGTATATATTTTTAATTGTCTATGGAGATTCTCCATCATTCAGGTCACGGTTGTCCCAAAGATACTTTTTCAGGAGGCAACTGGACTTTTTTGTTCTTTCTTTGAAGACGTTTCGCTTCTCATCCAAGAAGCTTCTTCAGCTCTGACTAGATGGTGGGGAATGGAAGAATTTATACTCCTGGCAGAGAGCTGGTCATTTACACTTTTAATAACAATAATCTTTATCGATTAGCCCGCGGGCCATATCAAGGTGCAGAGTTCTAAACACACATTCTACTAAAATGCAGTAAAAACAATTTAGAATGGAATTAGTTAAAATATAATTTAGGATAACATAGAAATAAAATACCATTTAAAATGAAATTGGGATTAAAATAACATTTTTAAAATGAAATTAGAATCAAATACGGCGATGTAAGATGTAGAGAGATAAAATATGATAAAATTATATTTCACTACCACCCCTACAATCTACCCCCCAATCAGTCTCATATATGCCGATCTCTCAGCCGAACCATTTTGCTCAGGTACTGTGCTGTGTTAAATGTAATTTTTAAATTTGGCCGCACATAAGGGAAGTTATTTTGATATGGGGACTTGCACTTTTAGAGAGTTGTTGAGAGTCGTGGGGATGAACGCCCTTTGAATGGTGTGGAACTATGAATGGATTTCCAGGAAACATTGCAGGCTACAGGAACCATCTGCGCTTCAGTTGGAGATGCAGACACCCCAGACTCATCCCCAACAGCCTGCACCTGTCTCCAACTGCAAAGGGACGCAGGGCTGAAAACATCCTGTAGCCAAGGCGGCTCCACTCCCATTTACACCACTCAGATGACCCTGAAAACACAGATAAACCTCCAAGTGGCCTCAACGGCTCTCTGAAAGGATGCAAATGACCAGTTTTTCCGCAAGGAGTATAAATCCTTCCATTCCCCACCATCCAGTCAGAGCTGAAGAAGCTTCTTGGATGAGAAATGAAACGTCTTCAAAGAAAAACAAACAGCTGGTCATTTGCATTCCTTTAGCGAGGCGTTGAGGCCACTTGGTGGTTTATCTGTGTCCTCAGGGTCATCTGAGTGGTGCAAATGGATGTGGACTCTTATTGGAACTGCTGAAAGGACAGTGTTCCACACCCATTTGCACCACTCAGGTGACCCTGAGGACACAGATAAACCTCCAAGTGGCCTCAACGGCTCTCTGAAAGAAGGCAAATGACCAGCTGTCTGCAAGGAGTATAAATCCTTCCATTCCCCACCATCCAGTCAGAGCTGAAGAAGCTTCTTCAGAGGAGAAGCGAAACGTCTTCAAAGAAAGAACAAGAAAGTCCAGTTGCCTCCTGAAAAAAGCACCTTTTGGGATATTTTTATTGATTTTAAATAATTAAACTGAATTACTGAATTGTCCTGCAGCAACGTGTCCCGTGGTGAGCAGACCATGGCGAGTTGTCCCATTCCGACTGACAGGAAGCACAACCTAGGAAGTGGGAAGTGGACTTTCCCCAGGTGGGTTTTCTAACGTGGGGGAGATCTGAGGAAGCCTTCCTTCTCTGACCACGTTCTCCCCGGTGCGGCGGACTCACGGGTTCCAGTGCTCCTTGGAGACACGGTAGAGCGTGCCGAAGATGGTAGGAAGTACCGTGTGACAATTGTCCTCCACCAGGCTCAGGATGTATTCGTTGTTCCAGAAATACAGCGCCCGTTCAGCCACCTGGTTTGGGGAGAAGGGGGCCATGAGCATTTGAAAGCCCACCAAAAAGTCCCTACCCCAGCTACCTTTAATCTAGGGAGTCCTCGACTTGCAAATACGGTGGAGCCCATTTTTTGATTTTTCTTCCTACAGTTGTTAAGCGAATCATTGCAGTTGTTAAGTTAGTAACCCGGTTGTTAAGTGAATCTGGCTTCCCCACTGATTTTGTTTGTCAGAAGGTCGCAAAAGGGGATCACATGACCCCGGGACACTCTGACCGTCACAAATATAAATCAGTTGTCAAGCCCCGAATTTTGATCCCGTGACCTTGGGGATGCTGCAACAGTCATTAAGTGTGAAAAATGGTCACAAGTCGCTTTTTTCAGTGCCTTTGTAACTTAGGTCACTAAATGAATGGTTGTAAGCAGAGGACTACCTGCAAGGCAGTCTTTGAATTACGACCAATTGCTTAACAATGCCTCGAAGTTTTGACGGCCTCAGAAAAAGGGACTTATGACCCACCCTCAAAGTTACAACTGTTGCACCATCCCCTGCAGTCCCCTGATCACAATTCATCACAATTGTACTACAGTTGCAACCTTCCCACTGGCTTCCAATAAGCAAAGTCAATTGGAGGGGAGAGGAAGCCAGATTCACTTAGTGACCACACAATTCACTTAACAAGCATGACCGCAGTAAACACGGTTGTAAAATGCAGTCCTGGACAGGTGACGACTTGCTTAATGACCGCATTGCTTGGCAACTGAAATTCCATACCCCGAGTGTGGGCGTAAGATGGTTCCCCCCTCCCACCCTTTGCTCAGTGCCCCCTCCCCAAGGCACCTGGAAGTGGGGGCTGGCGATGCACCGGGCCACTTGCTTGAAGAGCGGCTCCTGGATCTTCACAAACTGCGACGGTTCGATGACGTCCAGGATCTCCTCAATTTCTCCTAAGAGCATCACCTGATCAAGGGGGGGGAAGAGAGGAGATGAAAAGAGGGGGGCCCTCTAGCAGCAGACAGGCTGATGCATTTGCAGGACTCTCCCCCCATTTGCACGCGTTCCCTCCTCCCTTCCTCGCCGCCACCCTGTACCTCTTTTTGGGTGCAGGTCTTCGGCCAATATTTCAACAGGCCGCGGATCACCTGCCAAAGGAAAGAAAGTTATTTATTCGTTTTTATTCAGCATGTGGCGTCTACAGAGGTCATGCAATCATTGATATGCACATTTACTTTAAATAAGGCGCCAGCAAATATATATATATATGTAGTTCTCGACTTACAACCGTTCACTTAGCGACCAAAGTTAGAACGGCAGTGAAAAAAGTGATCTATGACCATTTTTCACACGTATGACCGTTGCAGTCTTCCCACGGTCACGTGATCAAGATTCAGATGCTTGGCAACTAACTCGTACTTATGACAGTCACTGTGTCCTGGGGGTCATGTGATCCCCTTTTGTGACCTTCTGACCAGCAAAGTCAATGTGGAAGCCAGATTCACTTAACGACTGTGTTTCTAACTGTAGTGATTCACTTAACAACTGGGGCAAGAAAGTTTGTGAAGTGGGGCAAAATTCACTTATCAAATGTCTCCTTTAACAACCAAAATTTTGGGCTCAGTTCTGGTCGTAAGTCAAGGACTACCTTGTATGTATCATTATTTTATATGTATCCTTTGTAGATGATGGATCCAAACTCCCTGCCTCTTAACGAAACGTAGCCTCTTCCAGAATCATCTAAATATTTAAGTGGTCTTTATTCTGGAGGCATGCTGCTCCTAGCAATGGAGGCTCTACTGCCAGTTTTCAAAGCTTTACACAGCTTGGAGGCCTGCTCTTTCTTTATAAAAAAAGCCCTGTGGGAAATTGCTCAATTGTGGAGCAATTGTGGTCATAAAACAAGGACGACCTGTGTATATATAAGATATGTGGACCATACAATATGGGAGAAAAAATATTAAATTAAGATAAAACCATAAGACTATCGCCATAATATGGAGCCATAGAATTGCAATGGGATAGATGTTATACTTCAATAGAGAGAGAAAATGAAGGAGAGGGGGGAAAAATGGAATTTTAAGCCACCCAGAGTCACTTGGTGGGGTTGAGCACTTCTAGAAATGCAAGGAATAAACAAAAAGTAAACTCCTGCTGTGGATCAAAGGAGCCTCTCGCACCCAGGTCCGCTGCCATGCTGCCAAAACGTGCCCAGCCACCTGTGGCCCTCCACCCTACTGGGGCCATGAGCCCTGCCCTGCTGCTTGTCCCCTACCCCTTGCAAAGGCCGGACTCACGTGCTCGGTCAGCGTGGCATCTTTTTCCAAGAACTGGACCACGCAGTAGGCCAGCTGGAAGAGAGGAGAGGAGACCATTTCTCAAGGTCCTTCTTTCATTTCATTTCATTTCATTTATTCAATTTGTATCCCGCCCTTCTCCCAAGGGACTCAGGGCGGCTCACAACATTTTTTAAAACAAAAACAAACCCACAATCCCCGCCGAATAAAACCAATTAAAACCCAAATATTTTAAGTTGTGATATTTTAAGTTGTGATATTTAAAATTTTCTAAAAATCAACCCACACTGCTGCCCCCCCTTCTGCTTCTGCAGCCCACAGCCAGCCTAGGCGTTAATCCCAGAAAGCCAGCTAGTGCACGGATAGGAGGCCACTCAGAAATCCCACAGCAACAGCCAGGGCAGACCAGTTCCCTGCGTGAGACCTTTGTCTGTTCTTCTCCCCTCTTATCCTGACCGGGATAAGACTAAGACTTCCCTTTTCAACCTGCAGGTTTGTCACAACAAAGGATACTGCTATTGCGAGCCTGGGTGCCCCCCCCTCATTTTCCTTGGGGGCAGTGTGGACAGTGGACCCCCGCCCCACAGGGAGGTAAGTCCAGTGAGAGTGGGCGCAGAGCAATAGAATCCAGGTCAGGGGCGCAAAGAGCCGAGGACCCTCGGGCGCCTCCCTGAACCGCGGAGCGCCCTGAGCGCTCCTCTCTGCCACCCACCCATCCCCGGGCACTGCTGGCTCACCTGGGCATGGAAAATGGAGAGGGACTTGACGGAGTGAAGCGGGATGAGGACCCGGATGAGGAACTGCTTGTGTTCCGCCTTCAAGGGCAGGGCGAAGCCGTTGATGATGCTGAAAGCGAAGCCGAGGGAGGGGTTTACGGGAGGGAGGGTCATCCCTTGCAGGGTCGTCGTTGTAGCAGCCAATTTCTCGTATCAGTGGCGGGGGAGCTAGATCAGGGCTTCCCAACTAAGCAACTTGGAATGAGTGGACTTCAATTCCCAGAATTCCCCTAGCCAGAATTTCCCAGAGGTTGAGAAATATGGATGTAAATGAATTTAAGAATCATCTCCAGTTTTACATTTCTTTCTTTCTTTTTCTTTCTTTTCTTTCCATTCTTTTTTCTCTTCTTCCCATCCCCTTTCCTTCTTTCTTTTCCCTACCTTCTTTTTCCTTCCTTCCTTCCTTCCTTTTTTCTTTCTTCTTTCTTGCTTCCTTTTTTTTCCTTTTTTCCTTCCTTCCTTCCCTCCCTTCCTCTCCCTCTCCTCCTCTCCCTTTCCTTTCCTTCTCTCCTCTCCCTCTCCCTTTCTCCCTCTCCTCCCTCTCTCCTCCCCTCCCTCTCCTTCTCTTCTCTCCCTCTCCTCCCTTTCTCCCTCTCCTCTCTCTTCTCCTTCTCTCCCTCTCTCCTTCTCCCTCTTCTCCTTCTCTCCTCTCCTCTCCCTCTCCCCTCCCTCTCCTCTCCCCTTTCCTTCTCTCCCTCTTCTTCTCTCCCTCTCCTCTCCTCTCTCTCCTCTTCCCTCCTCTCCCTCTTCTTCTCTCCCTCCTCTCCTTCTCTCCCTCTCTCCTTTCCCTTCCTCTCCTTCTCTCCCGTCCCTCCTTCTCTCTTCTCCTTCTCCCCCTCTTCTCTCCCTCTCCTTTCCTCCCTCTTCTCCTTCTCCCTCTCCTCTGCTTCTCTCTTCCTCCCTCTTCTCCTTCTCTCCTCTCCCTCTCCTTTCCTTCTCTCCCTCTCCTCTTTCCTCCTCCCCTCCTTTCCTCCTCTCCCTCTCACTCGCCTCCTTTCCTTCTCTCCCTCTCCTCTCTCCTCTCCTTCTTTCCCTCTCCTCTCTTCTCCCTCTCCTCTCCTTCTCTCCGTCCCCCCTTCTAACAGTTTTGAAACCTTTCTGGGTTTCTTTATTTATTTTTGATGAAGGCTTCCAGCCCGGCCCTCCATTTTCTGCTATTTCTCCTGGCCTCCGCTCTGCAGTTCAACTTCCAAAGCCTCATCCTTCACCCCAAAAGGAGCCCGGCTTGGCAGGTGCCCAAAGGATGCACAGGGGAGAATTGGATTTGCTTAACAACTGTGGTCCCCCCCCAAAAAAATCAGGCGTAATGACCGGATCGCTTAGGGGTGGGACTTCTGGTCCCAATTTTGGTCTTAAGGACTACCTACAACAAAAAGTGACTTTTACAATACACTAAAATAAGCTGAAAGGTGGGCATTTCCTTTTGGGTACTAAGGATCATGTAAAAACAGGTGGAAACTGGAGAGCCAACTGATGAGCCAATCAGGTCAAAGGATCTCCGTATGTTCAGTCTACGGATAAGAGAGGAAAACAGTCTCCAAATATTCCAAGGGCTGCTGCAGGGAAGAAGAAAAAACGTCGCTTCTGTTCTCCTGTGGGCAGGAGGAGGACCAGTGGACTCTAAAACCATAGTTCTTAAGAAATCCAGATCAGGAGGAATTGTTTATACCGGCAGCCTGTGGAACAGACTGCCACATGAATTCTCCTTGGCTAAAGATCTTCGACCCGGAGGCTGGAGGGCCCTCCTTCAGAGAGGCTCTCCTGAATCCTACCCTAAGCAGGGGGTTGGGACTAGATGACCTTGGAGCTCCCTTCCGTCGGGAGGAAACTGTGCTTTAAAGGGCGGGGGGAACGGCCATCCTTACACGCCCTAACGGAGGAGCCTCGCTTCTCCCAGCCCCGAAAGATTTACCTCCCCAGGATTTCTAACAACTCCGCCACTCCGTTGAAATGCTCCGTCTCGTAGATGAACCTGTCGGGCGGAAGGAAAAGAAGAAACAGGGAAGGCTGCCATTTCTCGCCATTGTCTTCCCCGCCGGATGAGCCCGCAGAGGCAACTCTCTCCCTCCTCTCCCCTTTGCCCCCTTTCCTCATCCTTCCCACCTTCATGAAAGGCAACAGGGAGTCCCCGTTTAGTGACCACTCGAAGTTACAATGGCATGGAAAAAAGCGACTTCTGACCGTTTTTCACACTTAACGATCACTGTGGCATCCCGGTGGTCGTGTGATCAGAATCCAGACCCCTGGCAACCAATTTGTGTTAATGACCGTTGCAGTGTCCTGGTGTGTGTGTGTGTGTGTGTGTGTCACGTGATCCCCTTTTGCGATCTTCTGACACGCAAAGTCAACAGGGGGTTAAGCCAGGTTCACTTAACGACCGTGTGACTAACTGAACGACTGCAGTGATTCACTTAACAACTGGGTCAAGAAAGGTTGTAAAATGGGCACAACTCACTTAACAATGGTCTCGCTTTGCCAAGGACAATTTGGGCAAAATTGTGGTCGTTAAGTCCAGGACTACCTGTACCATGATGCCAAGCTAGCCCAAGACCGGGAGACAATCCAGAAGATTCCCGATCAGAAGAGTCTTTCCCTCTAATAAGTAGCCTTCCCACTCTAGAACGGAATGGAAGAGAATCCAGGGGGATCTTGGACTCTCTCACACAAAGTGGGTTCACAGTGCAAAGACCCAGCCCCACCCACCTGCTCTAAGCATCGGGGGGGGGGGCTAAACAGATGCAGATGATGCAAAACTAGCCATTCCAGGTTTCTTTTAACCATGAGAAATGGGGTGCAAATATTTTAAATTAATGTATCTCAGACTTGGCCCCTTTAAGGCATGTGGAGGTTCAGCTCCCAGAATTCCCCACCCAACATCTTTAATATGGGTGGACTTCAATTCCCAGAATTTCCCTGTTTGCATGCTTTAAGATGGGTGGGCTTTGACCCACAGAAATCCCTAACTAGCATGCTTTAAGAGAAATGGGATGCAAATATTTTAAATTAATGTATCTCAGACTTGGCCCCTTTAAGGCATGTGGAGGTTCAGCTCCCAGAATTCCCCACACAACATCTTTAATATGGGTGGACCTCACCTCCCAGAATTCCCCAGCCAGCATGGTTTAAGATGGATGAAGTTCGACTTCCAGAATTCCGCAGCCAACATGCTTTAAATTTAAAATATATGGACATCAAGTCCTAGAATTCCCCAGCCAGCATGCTTTAAGATGGATGGACTTCAACTCCAGCCTGTAGGCTGGGGAATTCTGGGAGTTAAAAGGCCACACATTTTAAAGGGGCCAAATCTGAAAAAAACATTTGTTTTAAATCCACCCATTTAGGCTTCAACAAGTCACGGTTCTTGGGAAATTAAGGCAGTGAGAAGGAATCAGCTGGCTGAGAAAAGAGCACAGAATTAACTCTTTGGGCCTGCTGGCATGCCCCTCTGGCCCCCCAATATCTTGCCATTCGAATAATTTCAGCTGTGGATGAAGGGCTTTGGCCTCCAACATATTTAGACAGCATTTGGTTAGAGAAAAGAGTGCATGGGCCACTATCTAGCATGGTGTTTCTCAAGCTTGGCCACTTAAAAGACTAGTGGACTTCAAGTCCCAGAATTCCCCAGCCAGCAGGCTGGAGTTGAAATCCACTCATCTTAAAGATATCAGCTGCCAAATTCTGGGACTTAAAAGTTCATCCAGCTTAAAAGATACTGGCTGGGGAATTCTGGGAGTTGAAGTCCACCTGTCCTAAAGTGGCCTAAACTTGAAAACTGCTCTACAGCCTCAGTTGATAAGGTTCTCCTAGGAATTAATCAGAGACTTTGTGCAAGATTAGAAATTAGAAAATGTTGCAGACAACACAACAGACCTTCATCGTTTTGGGATGAAAACCCAGGCAAACCTAAGGCGAAGAAGCCACTCACCTCAAAAAAATGTTATTGCATTGCTTGCGAATATACGCCCGAAGGCCCAGGAATTTGCCGTAAACCCGATGAAGGATGGTCTTGAGGTATTCACGTTCCCTGGGGTCTTCGCTGTCGAACAATTCTAGCAGCTGAAGGGGGACGAAAGAGAAAAAAGAGCATTGCCAAAGATTTGGAAGGTTTTCTGTTTCATGACCTTAATTGCATTGTAAGTTATTAAAACCATCCTAATGGGCAAGGCTAGGATTGTTATATTTTATTATTCTATTTCTCTTCTTTTCTCTTCTATTCCACACCATCCATTCTATTCTATTCTATTCTATTCTATTCTATTCTATTCTATTCTATTCTATTCTATTCTATTCTATTCTATTTATTCCATTCCATTCCATTCCATTCCATTCCATTCCATTCCATATTCTATTCTATTCTATTCTATTCTATTCTATTCTATTCTATTCTATTCTGTTCTGTTCTGTTCTGTTCTGTTCTGTTCTGTTCTGTTCTATTCTATTCTATTCTATTCTATTCCATTCCATTCCATTCCATTCCATTCCATTCCATATTTTCTGTTCTGTTCTGTTCCGTTCTATTCTATCTTATCTATTTTGTGTCTTGGCCCCATTTCTCATCTGTGGGGAAGCTGTTCCTAGCTTAAGCAGGTAATCCTCAACATATGTCCCCAGTTGGGATCAGATTTTGGTCACTAAGCAAGTCATCATATGACTGGGTCAGATTTTATTCCAGGTCATCTTCGACTTACAACCATTTGTTTAGTGATCGTTTGCAGTTACAACAGAACTGAAAGAAGTGACTGATGACCATTTTTCACAGTTATGACCGTTGCACCATCCCCACAGTCACGTGATCAGAATTCAGATGCTTGTCAACTGACTCGTAGTTATGACAGTTGCAGCATCCTGGGGTCTCATCCATCACCTCCAGTGATGGAGCACCAACAACCTCCCTCCCTCCCTCCCTCCCTCCCTCTCTCTGTATCTTATCTCATAGAATCATAGAGCAGAAAAGACCTCCGAATTCTAGTTCAACCCCCTGCTCAAGCAGAAGGCCCTAGATCAGGGGTCTTCAAAGTTGGCCCTTTTATGACTTGTGGACTTCAACTCCCAGAATTCCTCAGCTAGGCATGCTGGCTGAGGAATTCTGGGAGTTGAAGTCCACAAGTCGCAAAAGGCCCAAGTTTAAAGACCTCTGCCCTATACCGTATCCATCCATCCATCCATCCATCCATCTTATTTATCTCATAGAATCTTAGAGCAGAATGGACCATAGTGGTCTTCTATTCCAACCCCTGCCCAATCAGGAGACCTTATACCATTCCAGACAAATGGCTTCTCTTGACAATCTCCAGTGATGGAGCATCCACAACTTCTGGATCTATCTATCTATCTATCTATCTATCTATCTATCATCTATCTATCTATCTATCTATCTATCTATCTATCTATCTATCTATCATCTATCTATCTATCTATCTATCTATCTATCTATGGTATCTATCTATCTATCTATCTATCTATCTATTTATCTATCTAATCTATCTATCTATCTATCTATCTATCTATCTATCTATCTATCTATCTATCTATCTATCTATCTATCTATCTATCTATCTATCTATCACCATTTATCTCATAGAATCATAAAGAAGGGACCTCAGAGGTCTTCTAGTCCAACCCCCTGCTTGAGCAGGAGACCCCATATCATTTCAAACAGGTGATTGTCCAGTCTCTTCTTGAAAACCACCAGTGTTGGAGCACCCACAATTTCTGGAGGGAAGCCTTTCCACCATGATTCCCAGCCATAAAACCCTTCCTTTCCGTCTCACTTACCATCAATACGAATTTCTGGTCTATGTAGCGCTTGGCAACCGAGGGTTGGAAGTCTGGACTTTCAAGGAACCGGAGGAAAAATTCATATACAAGCTGGAAGGAGAAGAGAGGGAATCCATCAAATCCAACTCAACTTTCTTCTTCCACCAGGAGGCAAAGGTTGAGCGCCTTGAAAAAGTGGGGTTCCACCATGCCCAGCCGGTGATACATCCAAACCCTGGAGCTACTACTCAAGGGGACATCTTAATCTCACGGCCTTCAGAACGACTCTTACTTGGAGATGGGGCCAAGACGGTTCCAAGTTTGGTTCATCTTCTTCGGGATCAAACTCAGGGTTCTCACTGGGTGGAAGAATTCGGAAAATGTTGACTGAGATCTGCAGAGAGACGGGACAGATCAGCCCAAGCCCAAACCCTGGAAGTGAGATAACTTTTCAAGGTCAGCTGAGCCAACCAGAACAGACTCCACCCAAGCGTCAGATCCACAGAATCAGAATAGAGCTGGAAGGGACCTTTGAGGTCTTCTAGTCCAACCCCCTGCTTAAGCAGGAGACCCTATACTAGTTCTCTAAGAGGAAATTTCCTGTCAGTGGGAACAATTAATCAGCGGAACTCCTTGCCTCCAGAAGTTGTGGATGCTCCATCACTGGAGACTTTCAAGGAGAGATTGAATGGAATGTTATAGGGCAGTGATGGCGAACCTTTTAGAGACTGAGTGCCCAAACTGCAACCCAAACCCCACTTATTTCTCTCTGGGTACCAGGTGGGTGTGGCCCACTAGGTAGGCATGGCTGTGGTCATGGCAGACTGGATGTGGCCAAGGTGGGCGTGGTCTCCTCGATGTTGCTCATGGGGAGGGACACCTGTGGGGGCCGGGCAGGGTTGGGGGAGATCCAGGGGGTCTCTGGCAGGTGGGGTGGTGGGCAGGAGGCTCGTCCTGCGGGGTGAGACGAAGCAAGGCGAGGCAGGGCGGGGGTGCCATTGTCGCAGGGCAAGGCGAGGGAGGGACCGGGGCGGCCGCTGCCTGACACCATCGGCCCCCGCACACAGAGGCCAGCGAGCGCATGGGGGCCGACAGTGTCCGTCAGCAGCCACAGCCTGCCAGCCCCTCGACTGGCACACTCTGGGGCTCTGCAGCCCGCCAGCACTTCAGAGAAGCCGCCCCAGAGCTGGACAGCCGGCTGACAGCTGAGGAGGCGATGCAGTGGGTCGTGCCTGGGAAAAGGAGAGCATGCGAGGCCAGGAGGGAGGGGACAGGGGGGAGGCAAACCAGCCATGCTGGGATGCATCCGGGCACGTGGAACCTCGGCAAGTTAGCGGGCAGCTGGTTGAAGAGGGACGGCTGCCATCTCTGGGGCATGGCGCGCGTGCCCACAGAGAGGGCTCTGAGTGCCGCCTCTGGTACGCATGCCATAGGTTCGCCACCACTGTTATAGGGTCTCCTGCTTAAGCAGAGGGTTGGACTAGAACAGGGGTCTTCAAACTTGGCCCTTTTAGGATTTGTGGAATTCAACTCCCAGAATTCCTCAGCCAGGCACGCTGGCTGAGGAATTCTGAGAGTTGAAGTCCACAAGTCATAAAAGGGCCAGGTGTGACGACCCCTGGACTAGAACATCAGCAAGATTCCCCCCAACCCTGTTAGTCTGTTTTTTTGCTTTTATTATACATCAAATTTGAGGGGGGGAGGTGTCTCCAGGTCAGTGTTGACTCCTAGCAACTGCCTGGACTGGTCCCTGCAGGTTTTTTGGCAAGGTTTTTCACAAGTGGTTTGCCATTGCCTCCTTCCTAGGGATGAGAGTGTGTGACAGGCCCAAGGTCACCCAGCTGGCTCTGTGCCTAAGGCGGGATTAGAACACCCTACTGCCTGGTTTCTAAACCACAATACCAAACTGGCTCCCTTAGCCATCAATAGTGCCATTTTAGTTTAGTCTTCTTCTTCTTCTCATCAATAGTGCCATTTTAGTTTAGTCTTCTTCTTCTTCTCATCAATAGTGCCATTTTAGTTTAGTCGTCTTCTTCTTCTTCTTCTTCTTCTTCTTCTTCTTCTTCTTCTTCTTCTTCTTCTTCTTCTTCTTCTTCTTCTTCTTCTTCTTCTTCTTCTTCTTCTTCTTCTTCTTCTTCTTCTTCTCCTTCTCCTTCTCCTTCTCCTTCTCCTTCTCCTTCTCCTTGTTATCGGACATTGGTGATCATGTTGGCGATCCTGTTTTTATCAGCAACCGCACGAAAAAGTGCTGCTGAGTTTTCTCCAAACCAATCCCTTAGATTTTAATTTTATTAGAGTTTAATTTTAAAATGATTAAACAATGATTATTTACAAAGCAATTATATATGCATTTGTTTTACTAATTTAAACAATGAATAATGAATTTGTTGTTGTTGTTAGTTGCGAAGTCCAACCCCTCGCAACCCCATGGACAATGTTCTTCCAGGCCTTCCTGTCCTCTACCATCTTCTGGAGTCCATTTAAGCTCAAGCCTATTGCTTCAGTGACTCCATCCAGCCCCCTCCTTCTCTGTCGTCCCCTTCTTCTCTTGCCCTCCATCTTTCCCAGCATCAGGCTCTTCTCCAGGGAGTCCTTCCTTCCCATTAGGTGGCTAAAGTACTTGAGTTTCAACTTCAGGATCTGGCCTTCTAAAGAGCAGTCGGGGTTGATCTCCTCTAGGACTGACCGGTTGGATCGCCTTGCAGTCCAGGGGACTCGCAGGAGTCTTCTCCAGCACCAGAGTTCAAAGGCCTCAACTCTTTGGCGCTCAGCCTTTCTTATGGTCCAACTTTCACAGCCATACATTGCAACTGGGAAAACCATGGCCTTGACTCTACGCACTTTTGTTGGCAGGGTGATGTCTCTGCTTTTTAGTATGCTGTCTAGATTTGCCATAGCTTTCCTCCCCAGGAGCAAGCGTCTTTTAATTTCTTGGCTGCAGTCCCCCTCTGCGGTGATCTTGGAGCCCAGGAAGATAAAATCTGTCACTACCTCCATTTCTTCCCCATCTATTTGCTAGGAATTGAGAGGGCCGGATGCCATGATCTTGGTTTTCTTAATGTTGAGTTTCAAGCCAACTTTTGCACTCGAATAATGAATAAACATTGGCTATTTCTTACATGTTTGCATGTTTATAAATGTGGCCCACTAATTAACACATTTTATATAATGCGGCTCTCCCATTCGAGTTTGAAACTCCTTTTAAACTATTGGAAAACTGAAAGTTTAGATTAGATCTCCAAATAATTTAATTGTAAAGACAGAGCGACTTCTTAGATTCCCTGAAAACTACAATCTAAAAGGTATCTATCTTTTCTTCCTTTTGATAGCATGTGTGTGTATCATCTTCAATTCAGCATCACCTTCAACTTGATAAGGATAATAATGAGTAATGCTTTTGATAAGTAATTTCATTTTTCCATTTTTTTTATTGTGGTTTCTTCCTTCTTCCTTTCAGAAAAAAAGCACGATCAATATAAAACTCAGGAAGAATTATACAGATAGTCCTTGTTTAATGACCGTTCGAAGTTACAACGGCACTGAAAAAAGGGACCTATGGCTGTTTTTTCATATTCAACATGATCAAAATTCACACATTTGGCAACTGGCTCCTATTTACGACGGTTGCCGTGTCCCGGGGTCACGTGATCCCCTTTTGCAACCTTCTTACAAGCCAAGTCAGTGGTGAAGCCAGATTCACTTAACAACCGTGTTGCTAATGTAACAACTGCAGTGATTCACTTAGCAACTGTGGCAAGGAAGGTTGTAAAAT